CACGGGCCAGTCTGGGACCTACCAGCTTCTCACCTCGGGGAATACTATCAACTACGCAGGGCCCGCTGCCCCTGGAGGGTTCGCATGTGGGAGCTCTTTTCTCCTTTCGTGATCTAAGAGGGAACTGTTGTTAACAAAGCGCAGCTCCCCATGACCGCAGGCACTGTGGGGGCCCTCAGCAGGCAGCATGGTCTGAAGGGACTGGGCAGGCAAGTCCCTGCTTGGTCCTTGCCTGTGTGCGATTAGGCAGCCGTCCTTGTCATCACTTGCGGACAAAGGAGGCAGCTCCTAGGGTGTTGGGAGAGCTCCAACACCAAAGGGAAAAGCTGCTAAACTACAGGGGCTCCCAAAAAGGTGACGGCACGCCTCGGTCCTGGGCTGAAGGGGGCTGGGGGCGCGGAGGGGAGGTTTGGGAATGGCGGGCTGGGCTCCGTGGCCTGGAGGACCGGCCTGCTTAGCCCTGTGCCCCAGCAGCCCTCCCCCCAGAGCCAGAGACCATCGGGGCTGCCGCTCGAGCCCACCTCCCCGAGGGACCCAGGAGAGGCTGGCCTGGCGGGCGGGGGGGGGAGCCCCAGGAGGGAGCACACAGGAAGGGGGAGGCACAGCTGGAGCCGGTTCCAGCTGAGCAAGTGTTTTCCTTGACCAAGATCGGCAGTTTTGACTGTGGGCCAGGCCCCATTCCAGGTGCTGGGGACACTCGCTGAGCCAGGAGGAGACCCCGCCCTCTCAGCTGAGGGATGCGGACAGGGACCCAAGACAAGCAAAGCAGAGGACAGGACGTCAGGTGAGATAAGCGCCAGGAGAAAAGATGCAGAAGGTGGTTGGAGGGACGGAGGGGGCGGACCTAGGTGGGTTTGAACTTGATGGCCACCTGTCTCTCTAGTGCTATGGTTTGAGAAAGCCCCTTGCCAGGCTGTGGTGGGGTGAATGAAGTCACTGAGGTCATACGTGGCCGGCTCAGCACCCATCACTGTCAGCGCACAGTGGTGGAACATCCCCAGGCTGGTTAGAGATCACACCTGCCACCCCAGGTGGGACCTGCGTGAATGTGGGTCTAGAACTGTCCAGCAGAGGGCAGCAGATTCCCACAAATGGCCTGCCTTGCCACTGGCCCAGCCTTCATTCCTTCACGCTCAGCAGGCTGCTCCTGGGCTGCAGACCCTGCAGGTGAAGCTTGTCCCTGCAGAAAGTGGGACAGGTCAGGGAAGAGGAGACGGGTAGAGGCAGCCTGCCGAGCAGCCATGTCCCAGCAGCCATGTCCCAGCCGCCCTAGGGCCCCAGCCAGCCAGGCGGCTGGGTCCTCTGCCCCTCAGGGCTGAAGGACAGCTCCTGCTGTGCCGTCACCTCAGCGAGGGATGCACAGGCTTCTGCTCCTTCTGGGTCCAGACACCCCTCCCCGCCCACCTGCGTGGCAGCCAGAAGGGACCATCCTGAGCCACAAGGCCCAGACACCCTCTGCCGCTCCCAATGATCCCCGCTGTAACTGAGCTTCCTGGTTCGGGCTGAGGCCCTCGGCGAGCTGCCCTGCCCGGCCGCTCCAAACTTCTCTGTGTTTCCGAGTCCTGCCCGCGGCCGCGGGGCCTCTGCCCCTAGGGCTGCCACCCTCTTCCCCCTCCGCTGTCACCTCCAGCTGCCTGCTGACCTTTGCTCATCATGACCACTCAGTTGAGACCTCGTTTCCTCTGAGCGTCTGCCTTGGACCCTGCTGTCTGGTTCCCATTGCGGACTGTCCCTTCCCTGTGACCAGAGCAGCCACCTGGTGTCCCCACGTTGTCACAGCTGTCTCCTCAGCAGCCCGGGTCACCCTCCTATGGTCATGTCTTGTCCCCGTCTTCCCGCGCACCCCTGCAGTGGGACATCCACCTCCACCTCGGTTCGTTCTCAAGTTTCCTTGCTCCCCGAACCCCATGGCTCCGCCTGCACATTTAACCCAAAGCCGACCATCTGTGCCACCTCCAGTGAGGCCACTACCCCCTGCTTCTGACCGCTTTGGTGGCACAGCCCGACCTCCTCTCTCCTGATGGCCCTGCCCTTGGTTTTCCACAGCAGCTGGTCCAGTTCCTTTAAAACCCAAGTCAGCCCCGTGCTCAAAACCCGCGAAGGGCTTCCTATGGATACTGAATAAAATGCTACGCTGAGCCCGGCTGGTGAGGCCTGCTGGGCTCCGGCCGCCCTGTGGTATCACTGTGGACCCTGCTGTGTCCACACGCTGCCATCCAGTCCCATCCCTTGCTGCTGTTGCCATGCCAGGTCCTGGGAACTCACCCTTTTCTCTGGTAGAAGGCTCCCCCGAGATCTTTGCTTGTCTGGCTCCCCCAGTTCACACGAGTGAGTCAGAGGTCCCCGCTGACCCCACCGGAGAGGAAAGCGTCTCCCACCCTCTCCCCGGGCAGGGTGCGTATCTCTCAGGGCTTTTGACTCCCTTCCCTTGTCACTATGGGGCATTTGATGCTGTTGCCCTTTGTTTGTTGACTTGTCTCCCCAAAGAGACTGTGAGGTAGTTGGGGGCGGGTCTCTGCCGCGCTCCCCCAGCACACCATGAGCGAGCCATCGATGGAATAAACACACACAATCGGACAGGAGGGGCCGCCGTTTTCAGCGGCTCCGCCCCGCAGCAGGGCCCAGGTGCCAGGCAGTTTATGAGTGTTAGCTCACTGGAGTTCTAGAATGACCTTGGGAGGTAGGCACTCATAATTCCATTTTACAAATAAGGAATCTAAGGCTCAGAAACTCCGCGGCAGACCACACAGCTAGCGGCGGGCAGCGTCGGTTGGGATGCCAAGTCGGCCTGCCGCCCGAGACCACCCCTTGCTCCACGTGCTCCCTGCCGTCCCTCGGATGAGACCCGCTCGGGACCCCCGTCTGCTCGCTCCTTCCATCTCCGAGTTTGCCCCCTTTCTTATAAACCACTCTCATTCATTCGTGTTTAACAGCCCTTTCTCTCCTGTTGTCTTATAAATTCTGGTTCTCCAACCAACACAGCCAAGGTTCCTGCCACACGCCCGTGAGCAGGGACTATGAGGGGCTGCGCCTGGATCTGCAAATGCGTTTACCGCTGGCCGACTGGCCGCGAGGAGGCTGGCACGGGAGGCCTGCTCCCACCCAGCCCGCCATGTGAGACGCAGCCGCTTCTTGGGAACCGTTTAGCTCAAGACTTGGTGTTCCATATTCGCATGACACGCAAATTTCCATGTTCAGGAGGGCAACTGGTAGCAAGGCACTTGGAAGAGAATTCCAGCTTAAATGGAGGGTCCTGAACAAATTCCAAACCAAGAGTATTTCTGGCAAGCAAAGTCGCATTTTCATCTGACGGTGAACACGAGTTTTTAAAAAAGTTCCTGTGTGCCCTGGCTTCTCAGCGATCTGTTCTTCTGTGCTGGCCAAGCGCCCACAACGCTGCCACCTCGGTGGTGCCTCCCCTGTGCGTTGCTTCATCCCAGTTACTACTGGGGTGGGGAGGCCCCTTGGGACCGACAGTTTGGGTTCCTGGCTAAGGTGCCAGGGTATGTTGCAGCCTTGTCAAGGCTTTCAAAGCTCAGACTCCCAAGTTCTCTCTGGAAGTATGAGTTGTGTTCTAGAAAGTTCTCCCTACTTTTAGCCTTTCTCTTCAGATTGGGACTGGTGCACATGCTCACTCTGGATTCCTCCTCTTGCCAAGCCTTTCGGTTCGCATCCTTCCCGGTTTCCAGGCCCCGTGTGGCCCTGTCCCCTCTCCTCCCCGCCTCTTGCTTTGGAAGGATAACATCAACACAGGACACTCACTGTGTGCCCAGCCCTGGTCTAAGTACTATACACGAGTTAACGCAATCTCCAACCGCCCTGTGTGACAGGCAGCTCTCATTTTACAGAGGTGGGAATGGGGACTCAGAGAGGTTAAGTGACTTGCCCCACGTCACACAGCTAGCAAAGTGGAAGAACCAGCATGTAGCCTGGCTGAACTCTGCTGCTACTCTGCCTCATGGCATTTAGTGCTAAGAGCAGGAACGGACCTAGGTGGCCAGCTGTGGTCCTTCCCAGGCTCACATGGATGGCCTCCCTCTCTGTGGGGCCATTACTCTCCCGCCAGGCTGCATGTGGCACAGGGACCCGGGGGAAGGGTAGCAGCGACACAGGTTCCGAGGCTCCAGGCTGACCACCGAGACGGAGTCGCCCTGGGTCTCAGGCCGGCACGCACAGCCTCACCCCCAAGGGCGTCTCCCGGCCCCCGCAACGTGCCCACACGTCCTTGAGACTCTGCACCGCCTCCACCACAGCCAGGGAACCCAGGCCCTTCCCGCCCCAAAGACAGCTCATCGTAAGGATAAAAAGTAATTTCATGAAAAGCTGGGGCTTTGGTTGTCAAATTGCTACATCGCCTGCACACACTTGCAACACACACGCACACACACGCGCTGGCTTCCCCCCAACCCTCGCACGTAGTCAGCACACTATAAGGGGGCACCAGTCAACTCTCCCCCCCCGCCCCGCAAAGAACCAGTCTGTTCAGAAAAACTCGACCACGTAGTCCAAAGGAAAATAACAAAACAAAAACCCAAACTTTACTTGCATTTAGCCATTAATAAATAATTTACAGTATGTACACGCAGGGTGACACTCCACACGGGTCACAGACGTAAGGACGCAGTGAGGGGTCCCCCCTTCCAAGCAGAACGTGAGCAAACACAACCAAAATAAAGTGCTTCACTTTTTCCTTCCAACATAGGGGCTATCTAAAAACCAGCAGGGGCCTCGCCCCGCCCGCCCTCCCGCCCGCCCGCCAGCCCGCCGGCCGGCTCGCCCAGGTTTGGCAGAGAGAGGGGACCTCTTGGAGGGGGAGGCCAGTGTATGAGAGGTCCCTGGGGAATAGCAAGGGGGCAGAGTGGGCGCCGGCGGGCAGGTGGGGGCGGGAGGCTCTGGGCCTCCGGGAGGACGGCCCCCCGAGGCCGGGCAGCACCTTTGGGAGCGGAGCCCAGGCTCAGGGCTCCTGGGACGGGCAGCCTGGGCTCCCCGCAGCAGGCCTCTCCTGGCTGGGTGGCCCCAGGCTTACGGGAAGGGGTCCCACGGGGGAGACCCTGCCGAGGCTGCTGCTCTTGCCCGATGCCACGCCGCCTGGGCGTACAGGGCGGGGAGACGCGGAGGATCGAGGCAGGCCAGCTGGCCCTGTCCGCCCGTCTCCTGCCCGGCCCTGCGGCCCCAGCCCCCGCCCGGGGGCGCTTGCCATCTGCTGGCAAGGAAGGAACTCAAATCAAAGGGTAGCTCTCTGTTTAGACATTTAGAAACTCAACTTTCTAAGCACAACGGGGGACGGGGGACGGCCGGGAAAGGGCCAGAGAGGGGTATCTGAGCCCACGAGTGGCGTCGCTCCGAGCACGTGCTAACACGCACTGTCCCCAGCCGGGGGCTCTTGAGGCAGGGGTCTGGGTGCCGGAAGGCCCCAGGGAAAAGGAGGCCCTGCCGGGGGTCCAGCCGGGAGGGCGCCTCGGCCCTGCTGGCCTGGTGTGTGCGAGTGTGCTCGTGTGCTCGTGTGCGCGTACGGCAGGCGGGCGCGTGCAGCAGTCGGCCGGGCCGTTCAGTGCATTGCAGGGGCGGGAGGAGCTGACGGGGCCTTTCCCGGCGTCTCTGGCGGGGCGGGGGCTCCAGCCCGAGGGGCTCGGTTTTGCACATTCACACTGTGGGGCGGGCGGACGGGGGCAGCTCTCCCCCTCGCACAGCTCGACTGTCACAGACGTCGTCACAGCACCAGTCAGTCACCACCACCTTGCCCGGGGCGCTAGGAAGGGGGAGGGGCCGCCCCGCGCCCCCGCCCTTGCCCGCACACAGCCCAAGGCAGCTCTGAGGTAACCGTCCCACAGCTCACCGGCCAGCCGCTGCCTTCGCTTCCGGCCCCTGCCAGGACCCAGGGGCCGTCGGGGAGCCACCAGCCCTTCCGCAGCCACCGGCCGGCTTGGCGACAGGCAGTGCGACTCGGTCTCCGTCCTAGGCGGCACGGGCCTCCAGGAACACGGGGAGCAGGGTGAGGAGCAGGAGGCTGCCCAGCAGGAGCCGGGGGGCTGGAGACAGCCCCGCTGTGGCCGCCCGGCTGGGTGGCTCCCGTGTCCTCTCGTACAGGTGCAGCTTGTCCTTGTTGGAGTGGAGCATCTTGACGTCCTCCAAGGCGTAGTAGGCGGCCAGCGTGAAGTTCACGTCCCCCGTGGTGAGCAGGTCGAAGACGCAGGCCTGGTAGTAGAGGTCCTCCACGGGCAGCCTCTCCTTGCACTTGGCCACGGCCGTCTCATATGGGAAGGTGTCGGGGGCCGCGGGGGCGGGGCTGGCGGCTGGGGGCCTGTGGGCGCCGGGGCCCTCGGGGGCATGGAAGGCCTGGAAGTCGATCTGCTGGTTGAGGGGGCAGCCCCGCAGGCAGAGGTAGAGGCCCTGGCTGTCCCGGTCCTCCACCGCATTGACCACCTCCTCCGGCATGCGGACCGCAAAAGTCAGGTAGCGGCCCACCTGGCGGACCACGATGGTGGTGCCGATGTACTTGGCCTGGATCTCTATGTGCTGGCCCGACACCTTCTCCGTGATCTTGAGGCTGTTGGCCCCGTGTTTGTCCCCACCGTTCTTGGAGCCGTCGGCAAAGGCGGCCGGCAGCTCGTCCATCTCGGCCTGGTACACCTTCTGGTCCACGCACTCCTGGAAGTTTTTGAAGATGATGGTGAGCTGCGGGGAAGCAGGCAGAGCGTGGGGTTAGACAGGCTGACAGCCGCCGGGGGCGGGGCCCGGCCCCCGGCCGTCCCTTCCCCATTTTGGTCCTGGTGTCACCTGCACTGTTAGGCGCTTAGTATTTTTCTTTAAAACAGCTTGTTTTTACTTTAAAAAAACTGACGTAGAATGGGGACTTGAGCTCATTACCCTACATAGAAAACCAGCTCATTTACTATATAGAAAGGTGAACCATTAAAAAAAAAAAAAAAGCATTGTTAATTACAAATAAAAGGTCATCATTCACTTAGGTTGAATAATGGGCCCCCCAAGATAAGGGCCATCATCCCTGTAACCTGTGACTGACCAGACAGGGCAAACTGCTTCGCAGAGGGGATCACAGTAAGGATTCCAGAACGAGAAATGATCCTGGATCACCTGCGTGGGCTCTACATGCGATCACAAGAATCCTCACGAGATGGACGCAGAGGAGAGTCGACCACGGAAAAGGCGGCTCTGTTTCCAGAGGCAGAGACTCCGGTGATGCGGCCACAAGCTGAGGGATGCTGGCAGCCACGAGAGGCTGGAAGGGACACTGAACGAATTGCCCCCCAGAGCCTCCAGGATGACCCGCCCTGCTGACTCCTTGATGTCGGCCCTGCCAGACTTGAACCAGGCAGCAACGAGAAACTAACACGGCCCACAGTTGTCTCAGACCATGTCCCCCACTGCGGCGGACGGACCTCCGGCAGAATTCCTGAAAAAGGACCCGCAAGCCGCGGCCTGAATGTAGCAGCAGGCGGGAGAGCCGGCACTGATGCCTCAACAAAGAGCGAGGGGGCCAACTCCACGCAGGCAGGCGGAGGGGGAGGAGGAAGGTGCAGGTGGGCAAAAGGAAGACGGGGTCTCCAGGCTGAACATGAAACCCTGGCCAGGGCCGGGGCCGGGCGGCCCGCTCCCACCAGGGCCCACGGCCGGGGGCAGGGCTGGGCGGAGCCCGATTGGTCGTGTCAGTCACTGTCCTCCTGAGCACCAAGGACACAGGCACCACATTGATCACTTCTAGTCCTGTGCGGCACTGCAGGGGAGGGTGGCATTACCTCTGACTTACAGACAAGGAAACTCAGGCTCAGAGAGGTAAAGCGACTTGCCCACGGTCACACAGCCCGCCGGCCGAAGAGCCGGGGTCAGCCTCTCGGTTTCCAGCCCCTGGGCTTTAGCGCTACAAGCGCCGAGCGTGGGTGGCCTGGGAGACGGATGGGAGATGAACAGCCCAGGGCATGAGTGTGAATCCCCTACGCCCATCGTCCTGGCAGCGACGTCTGGTTTCTCTTTCCTCTATAACCCAAACTAGGAGGACTGCATGGGCTGGAGATGAGCAAGGCTGGGAGGGAAACCGCCACAGCCTCTCCCGTTCCTGCTCCCAGGCTCAGCTGGTGCCTCTACGGCCGCTGCCCCCTGGGCCAAGGGCGCTCGGGACGCTGCTGTCCGCACGGGCCCCCGGAGAAGCGGCTGCTCTGCCATGTTATAGGCGGCCACAGCCTCTCCATCCTCCATCGAGCCCTCTGCATCGAACTACAACAAACTGCCGCCACTCTGCCATCCCTGGCCTGTGGAAACGGCGCCTTCCAATGGTTCCACCTCCTGCTGCTCCGTTCTCTCCATCCGAGGCTCCTGCCCTGATGGGGAGGCCGCCTGCAGGGGCCGGGAGGTGGGCCAGCCGGGGAGGTCTGGGCAGTGGGTGGTCCTGTCACTGGAGGAGGGGGTGCGGGATGAGGACTCTGGTGTCCCTGCCTGGTGTACAGACACTGCGTGTGTGCAGGGCCGGGCAGGGGGGGGTGTCGGGAGAGGGGGCTGGTTTCCAAGTGCCATCCGTCTCCCTGGAACAGGAAAGGCTGGTTTTGCTCTAACTGCCATCTCTCGTGGAGACAGTCTCCTGGAAGGCTGACAGGCGGCTTGACTCCTCTTGGCACCAGTGCCAGGGACTCAACCACAAGTAACAGCATGAAGGGGGCCTGTCGAAAGCCGGCGGCTCGCAGCCAACAGGGCCACGGGCGGGGCTGCCGCTCCGGTCTCTGCTGCCCCCGTCCCTTCCCAGGGGGGCCGGGCCCTCCCCACCGCACTGGGCACGGTGCAGCGCCCAGGCTGCGTCGACAACCGTTCAGAGCGCGCCGGCGACGTGCTAGGCCTGGTGCTAGGGGCCGTGTCCACACAGGGAGCAGAAGGGTCCCGGACCCCTGTCCTCATGGAGCTCACATTTGGGGGGTGGGGGGAGTGTCCCGCACCAAGCAAATGAGCAGATGGGTGAGTTACACAGCATGCAACACGAGTGGTGAGTGTGATGTGGGGCCAGTGCGGGGGTGGGGGTGGGAGGCAGAGGCCAGCGGACCTCTCGCGGCTCCCGGAGCCTGTCCGCTCACCTGCACAGTGGGGTGCTACCAGCACAGCTGGGAGCAGACAGGCGTGGGAGGTAGTCCCACGGGGCGGGAGGTTAGCTAAAACCTCAGACCAGATCTTGCTCAGGATCCACAGGGGCCAAAAGACGGACTGAGAGGGATAATGCCATGATCATGGGAAATGAGCAAAGGCTGGAGGAGCGAGCTCAGGTGAGCAGAGGGCTCCTGCCAGAGCTGAGAAAGCCCCAGGCACCATCAGCTGGGAGATAAAAGCCCCCTGGCTTCTCCTCCTTCCCGGGAGGCTCCAGGCTGCAGCCCTGCTCAACCTGGCTCTGCTGCTGCCCACGCCCGTCCTTGGGGGCAGGCTCGGTGCAAGGACTTGCAGGAGGCCGCCCCCAGTGCTCTGGGCGGAGCCCTCAGCAGCCTGGGCACCGGCACTGCCTGCTGGTCTCTGTTCTCCATGATTAGCCTGGAAGCTGTGGCAGGGAGGCCGCCCTGGCACAGAGGCCGACACAAAAGAGGCCTCGGGTAGATGTTTGCTGAATCAACGAAGGGACTCCCCCCGCCCCCCAGTAACGGAGGCCTACGGGAATGGGCAGGGGCAGGCCACAGGCGCCGGCAACAGCCAGGACGCCTCTCACCCACGTACCAGAAGGCCCCGGTCTACCCCGACACCTGAGGCCGGCATGGCCCAGGCGCCGACCCTGTCGCTGCTGGGCCTACAGCAGGGCCGCAGGCTGCCTCCTGGCTGATGGGGACACGGCGGAAGGGGCTGTGTGGGCGCAGCTCTGCTTCAGGGCCCCCGATCCTTATGGCGCCTGGAATGCTGGGGCCGGTCAGCAGCCACAGCGCCCAGCAGACCCTGGAAGCGCGCAGCCCGGCGAGAGCGCCGAGTGTCAGAGGGGATGACTAGCCCAGCGGGTTGCTGGACAGCGTCGCCGGGCTCAGCGGCCTGGTGCGTGTCGGCAGAGAGCTGAGGGCGGCGTCCGGGGGTTCGAAGCCCAGGCACGTCGCCCCAGCCCACGGGCTCCACTCGTCTGTGGTCTGATGACTCTTGCTCCACCTTGTCACCTCCCCAGGCGCCGGGGGCAGCAGCCCGGCCTGGCCGGTCCCTAGTGGCAATTCCTCCCTTGGCACTGTTATCACATTCATAGGCACTGCTTACGCCTCCTGGGTTAGGAGGGCAGGTCCCTTCCCACGTGCCCCCTGCCAGGATGGGACAGGGAGGCAGGGTCTCCTGCCAGAGCATGTTTGCTGCTGGATTTAGAAGCTGCAGCCCAGGCTCCCAGTACTCATTTGTCTTGGATCTAGGGTGGGGGTGGGCAGGAGAACGGGCTGCAGAGAAGCAGAGGGGGTCCCTGACATGGGCCCCCTCAGCCCGTGGAGGGCTGGGAGGGGGCAGGACAGAGAGTGCAGGCCAAGGCCTAGAACTAAGGGCCTGTGAGCACATCCACGGGGCGAAGGCCCGTTCGCTTCCCACCCAGCAGCTGGTCTCAGGAAGAGGCCCGCTGTGGGCCTGCAAGGGCCGCTGGCGCAGATGGAAGTGGCAGGAATTTTCCCGGCTGCCCGGTCACCTCGCTGTCCTCTGGGGCAGGAGGGATGGGAAGGAGCAGAAACACGCTTGTGGGCCAGCCGGCAGCCTTAAAACATGTGGTTCCTAGGACAACAGACCGCTGCCAACCCGGAAACCCCAGGGGCCCCGGCGGGCCTGGCCCCAAGGAGGCAGAGGCGCCCCGAAGCCTGAGCCGTGAGCGCCCCCAGGCTTCTCCTGGCTGAGTCTGAATGTGAGGTCACGGGAGGCCCCCCGGAAGTGAGTACAGAAGGCGAGCCTGGGGCGGACGGGGCTGTGCCATTGTCTGGGCCACAGGTGTGCACACGCACCCAGTGAAGTCTAGGTCTCCTCAAACGTTTACCCTTACCATGCCTAGTGCGTTCATAAACTTTCTTTTAGGTGTGCCAGGTTACACTGCTACCCTGCCCAATTAAACAAACCATGCACGTACCATATACACATGTAAGATGGTTTCTGACACCCCCACCCGGAAGCTGATTCCACAAACCCACAGTGGCGGCGTGCGGCAGTTTGAGACCACGCTCTAGGCAACATTAAAAATCTCGACTTCCTTTCTAAGGCATCTGCTCATTTCCTGGAAACGAGAACATGGATGCAGGAGGCATCTGGGCCGGCAGACGGCCCGTCCGGGCCCTTCTAAGAGAAGGGCTTGGGTGATGGGGCCCTGCGGGCCCCCGAAGCGTCAGGCGCACCCTACCTTGCTGGTGGCCGTGGCAGCGGACCCAGGGAGCACAGGTGTGTTGGTGACTTGGACGTTCAGGTAATTATTGTCGATGAGTGGCCAGGCGCCCTGCACCTTGCAGGTCTGGAAGCGGTCTGTGAAAGTCCTGAGGTGCGGGTCCCCAAAGAGGCCGCAGTGCGTGTAGTTGGGGGCGGCTGAGTGCTTGTGGAAGCTCTTCTCGTAGTGGCAGATCTCGGGGCTGTCGGAGCGCTCCTGGCTGTCCCCCGGTGGCGGGAGCGTGCGCAGGCGCGGCTGCGACGTGGGGCCATCCTTGGAGCAGTTGTGCTGGCTCATGAGGTCCTCTATGCCATGGACCGCTGAGTGGTAGGCCAGGTCGCCCCGGCAGGTGCGGGCCGTGCGCCGCGTGCACAGGGCGTAGGTGCGCAGGGCGGCGCAGAACTCGGGGGCGTCGTCCGAGGCTGGGGAGTGGCCGCCCGCCGTGGCGCTCCAGAACTCAGAGTTGCACTTGAGGATCTTGCACGGGGAGGTGGCTGGGGAGAAAGGAATGGACACGCTGTTAGGGTAGGCGTGCGGCCCAGCACACCCCACCCGAGGCAGCAGCAACGGCCTGTACTCGTATTTGGTGAAAAAAAGAAACCACCTGAAGGTAGGAGGGCAGTGCAGGCTCCCGGCTGTGCAGGTGCCGCTGTGCAGGTGCGTCTGCACAGTCCCTGATGACCCCGAGCGACGGGCGCACATTCCCACACGCTGCGGGGCTGCTGGCAGCCCCTCCCACAGCGCCCGGCCCGGGGAGGGGACCGGTCAGTGTTCGGGGGCAGCAGGACGGCCGGAGCGGGCCTCTGACGTCTGTTAACCCATTCATAGCCGCCCCCCCCAAATATGGCAAAAGCGGCAGAAATTGCGCAGGGAATTAATGTGCCCCAAGCTCTGCCACTGTGTGACCTTGTGCATATGACCTTCTCTGGGTCTCATTTTGCCCATCTGGAAAATGGGTAATAGCCTCTGCTATGTGAGGTGGCAGAAGACGGCAGAGGACTTGGAAAGGCACCAGCCTTTAGCAGCAGCTCAGTGAAGGTTGGCTGGTGTGAAGGCTGGATCAGCCCTTATCACAGGGGCCTGGTTCCGCTCACCTTGTCGGCTCAGTGCCGTCCCTCTCTGTCCTGCTCAGGAGAGCAAGCTGGGAAGCAACTGAGAGTGATAACGATGGATTTGCATCAATGTGTGGTTTAAAAAAAACAAATGTCCCTCACAAGCTTTGAGACCTTCATGATGGCTATGAACGGCCATGCCCGAGAACCGTGGCTTTAACACAGGATCTGACTTCCCGAGTGTCCCCAGCTGCTTAAAACCTTCGGCCCTTGCACGTCTTCCCAGGAGTCTGGGAGGAAGCCCAAGCACCATCCTAGATGGAGAAACCACAGATCGGGGTGGGGAATGGCGTGCAAGAGACCCCCGAGAGTGACAACCTGGGACTAGAACTGACAACTGCTGTCCCCCCCCCCCCCCCCCCCGTCACCTCGCCAGGCGGTGGCACAGTTCCTCAGGGCCCATCCGCCGAAAGCGGACACGTGTGGGGCTGTCATCTCCTCGCAGTCCCGGGGACGGGCGCCAGGGCTGGCGGCCCCGTGGAGGCGAGACGAGGCGCCCGCCGACCCCAGGGAGCCGTCCCGCGTCCACTCCACTAAATCACAGGCCGGAAGGTAACCTGGCCTGGCGTCACGGCACCTGCCACAGGGACCCCGACGTTTACGTTCAGTATCTTTAATACAAAAGCATGAGACCTAACTCCAGGCAGTAAACCTTGGCCTTTTTCTGATGTGAGTGTCCAAGCAGCAAGGAGAGGCGAGTCTGAGGGTCTGAGACAGAGCCTATTGCCACTGGTGCAAGCACCTCTGCAGCGGCAGCCGCCCTGGTGCTTTCGGCCGGACAGAAGGCCACCAGCTGCCTCATTCCTGCCCGGCTGCCCGGCAGCCCCTCCCGGCCCCTCGGCCACCTCCCGGTGGATCCCACGCAGCCAGTAAGGTCAGAGCCAGGGAATGAAAGAAACTGATTGGAAAGATGTTCTCCTGAGGCTCCATTTCCATCTTGGCCTCTGCCCTCTGGCAAGGACGGCTCTCGGGGCCTCTGCTAACCCTCATACCCAGGCCTGTACCCCAGAGGCCCAGGGAAATGCTAAGGCCTTTTTTTTCACCTGCTGTGTGTGCCTGTGCAGGGTGGGCCATGCACTGCCTTAGGCTCCTTTGAAGCCCATGATGCATGTTTGTTTCAACCCAGGCCTCTTGAGACAGCACTCTGAGAATCAGCTACAGAGGGACAAGCGGGAGAATGCAGGGGCTGCAGAGACGTGGCTCGCCCAGGGAAGGGCGGGGTGCAGGGCCTCCCACACTGGCTGGGTGTGGAATGAACCCCAGGCCACCATCAGACCTGTTTGCTCCTGACTTGCGCAGTGAGGGCCAGAGCTCCCTGCTTCTCTGCGCAATGTTCTTCATCAATAAAGAGCCCCGATGGTCGCTTTGTGACTGACCTCTGTGCGGCCCCCTCAAGATGTGCCAGAGAATTGTAAAACCCAGGGCCAGGGGGACACCAGAGGTCGCTGGTTCCACCTCCACCCAGCCCTCAAGGCAGGAAATCTCCCTACAGCGTCGCCCGGGGACATCTGGCTTCCACGGCCGCTGAGCTCTACCAGGGCAGGGCCGGGCCCCCCTGCTCTGGGTGCTCCAGCTGTGGGCTCGCACCTGCCTCCTGGGGACTTTCACGGGCCCTCGATCCTTCCTGTGCAGCCACAGGGAAAAGGCTCGAATGTTGCCATGCTGTGTATCGAAGACAGCTCCTCGGCTCCTGTGTCCCCGTCTTTGGCCTCACCCTCTGGCCGCTCTGGGGGCCTGGCTGAACTGTCTGTGTCATCCATGATGCCCCGGCTCGAGTGCCACCTCCTGTCCTCGAGGCCCCTGAGAGCAGGGGCCCCCATTTTTGTCCTGCAATCCTTAACTCCCACACTCCTTGCTCCATGGTGCCCCGCATATGTAACATTTCACATCTGGGGGAGGTGGGCTCCAGGCTCCCTTCCTCCCTCATGGACAGAGACACAGCAAAGAGAGAGATCACAGCCACCCGGCCTTTCTGGCTTAATTCCTGCCCTTTAGAGCAACCTAGTGCCACTGAGAAACAGAGAGGGAGGCAGGGAGCTTGGAGGACCAGCTGTACCATCCCGGGCAGGATCAAAATGTTTACCCACCAGAGTGCACCAGAGCGGCACTAGCTGCTCTCAGAGACCTCCTTTGAACTGTTAATCAAGCCCAATCTTTCAGAATAATAGCCCGATTATGACCGCCTTGTTTGCATGACAAAGAAGCCCAATGAAACGTATTTGGCTGTGCGCAGAGGGGGTGTGAGGGACGGCCCTGAGAAAGGAGTCTTAGGAATGTGGGGAGCCGCTCTGCGGCCTGAACCTAGGAATAAAGACAATGCAATTTGCCACCAAGAAAAGCCCAATAGACCAATAAATTACCCGCGTGCTAAGGGATTAGATCAGGTTTCAGATGCCGGGTAGGAGGGGTGGGGTGAGCCAGGAAACAGAAAAACCTGCCTCTTCTTAAAGGGGTAAAGCTCAGTTTGACTACAAATGCCCCGGCCACGCTGGCCTGTACAGCTCGACAGCAGCCCCTGCAAGGTAACTCGCATGACTTGGGGAAAGTTCTGGACGCAGCTCTGTGCCAGGCGCTGTGCTTCATGCTGTTCCTGGAACAAGCCCCCGTGAGCTCCTGTGCTCAGGTGGAGTGAGCCACGGAAACGTCCAGAATGCAGAGCCAACAAGGATGGAAGAATGGGGGCTGGAGACCGTATCAGGGAAGCAGCGTCTCAGCCAGGCCTGGACGGGCAGCGGGGTCGGGCAGCGGTGCCCAGACAGGGCCCCTCCCGCACAGCCGAGGTCGGCCAGGGCGAGGTGCTGGCTGCTGAGCGCCGAGCCAGGCGTTTGGGGCCAGACATGCCCGGCAGAAGCGCCTGCTGCAGCTTCACTCCACTTTGCTCTGCTGCAAGGGGCTGGGACCTGCTGGGCTCCCTGCTATATTCCACCGCAAGGGGGCACGGGACGGAGGAGGGGTGGCAGGAGGTGCGTGCTGGTGCACCTTCTGTCCCCAGGCTGTTCCTGTCACCACTGGACCGTGGCCCCTCTCCCCCTCAGTGTCCTGGTGCCACTCCGAAGTACCGGGACCGCCAGGCAGGGGCGCTCCTCGGCGCCCCCGCCCCAGGAGTGGAAACTGCTTCTTGCAGCTGTGTGTGCCCCCGGGGTCCCTCGTGGCTTTTGCACCCCTTCCACGCCATTTGCCACCCCCCCCATGCTAAGATCCCTCGGTGGACATACCCCGCGGAGGTCTTGTCCCCCAGACTCAGCACTGCGGACTAGACCCGTCTGATCACGGGGGCTCCTGGACAGTTTTCAGTAAGTGGCGGCACCGTCGAACACCATTTTAGGACGCGACGTAACTCAACAGGCGACGGCTCCAAACGGGAAAGCAACAGGCAGAGCTTAAGGGAACGCGCCCCACGGCCTGGGGAGAGGCCACGCTGAAGCCCGAGCCCCCATCCCCCTGTCCTCGCTGCCCACCCGCCCGGGGCAGCCCTGGCGCTAGGGCTCCTCCCTCGAGCCTGGAGCGGGTCCTGAAGGCGGTGGGCGAGGAGCACCAGGCAGGAGGGCCACGCTGCCTCACCCAGGGCGGGACCCAGCAGCAGCAGGAGCAACGGGCCCTTCTCCACCCTCTCCCTTAGTATTGAATCTAGAAGGGGAGAGCAAAGTGATCTAGGGCCAGTCCTTGGTAAACTCTGGCCTGGGCATTATTCTGGAGTCTCCTTGCTTAACAGATGCCTGAGGTTGCCTGTCTGTGTCTCTCTTGTAGGAATTTCACTCCATCCTCCCGGTGTAAACACGCACATGTTTGGCATCAGACACCGAAAGGAACACACCCAGGTGACAGGTTGGATTGTCTGCCAGGTACGGCAGACACCACCTTATGTAACCTACAAGCAGACAGAATCGATCAGCCTCTGAAGAGGCTTTCCTCCCCAGTCTGGACAAAGACTCTCCCAGGGAATCGACCTGGCCCATGGCTCCAACATGTCTCCCACCCGTTGACGGCGCTGGGAATTTTCGGGGGCTTCCTCCAGGAACTGGCTCACAGGAGGAAGGGGTGCGGCAAGAGGAATCGTCTCAGAGAATCTCAAATGAGCTGGGAAGGGGAGGCGGGTCGGTTGGGGAGCTAGGGGTTAACTGCCGGCCAAGTGTGGGCAGAGGCGGCTGAGGCAATAGGCACTGCCCCCCCCCCCCCCCCCGCCCCACCCAGCCAGGGCTGCTCTGCCCCAGCCTCCACACAGGCCAGGTTGTTGCAAGGAAGCACGCCGGGTGCCAAGGAGAGGGCACACCTCAGCCTACAAACTGGACGCCCTCCCCTGGCTCCCACTGGGGCCACGGAGCCAGGTCAACGGCAGACAGCACGGCCCGGCAGGCCGCCGAGGGCTCCCCTGGGTAGGAGGG